CCACAATACTTATGTATTCCAGATATTTATTGGCATATCAATTACAGTTGGTGAGGAGTACCTTGCTTTAATACTCTCTCTCTCTCTCTCTCTCTCTCTCTCTCCCTCACTGCTTCTCTCTATATATTGGATTTAACTCATGTCAACCCATCATCTTCCAGCTCTCTGCTCGCTGTTCCATTACTTTAAAGAACATATTTTAACATAATGAGAAACACACTTATTTTCTTTCATTTGAGAGTAGGACGATTTTTTTTTTTTTTGCCAGTTCTACATTAGTTCAGAGAAATTCACCACATTTGCACTGATTCAGTAGAAAAATAATATTTTGGAATGTTTTTTAGTTTCGTACGAAAAGTTTTCTGTCTGTGACAGCCATACTTTCTCAAGATTCAAGATTCATTTAAGCACAGAACTAGACAGTTCAGACACTTGGGAATTCTTGTGCGAGCCTCGGCCCATAGCTGAGTTGAGACTTAAGTAGTAGAGTAAGAGAGCAACAAATAAGAATAGCAATATGGTGCTTCTTCACTTCTTCACTTTCCAGTGACTGTATGTGCTCCAGTCTTGTCTTGTCATGTTCAGATAAAACAGCACCATACAAACTAATCCTGAACTCTACTATGTTAAAAGCTCTCTGCCAGGTCGGTAGGCTGTACAGTATATTTCTTGTTAAAGTTGCATTAATGCCTAAATGCAAATTTGCCGTCAGCAAACAGTTTTTTTCTTTCTCCTGATATGAAAGTATTTTCAGAAATCTGAACAAACGAGAAACCTTTACCAAAACGTAGAAAAATACAGTTTTCAGATTTAGGTTTTAGTATTGACGGGAAGGTTGACAGGAAGCTGCAGCCTCTTTCAACAATTCTACATTCAGCATAAATTTGAATATTTATTCAGCTAGTTTTTCCTCCACTTTTACAATTTATAAAGACTTAAATGTGGTCTGAATTTTTAGGATGTTTTAGTTCAGCTGACACATGTAAGAGATTAATAAAATACTACTGGATGTTGCTGAGGTTTCGTTACATGCTACATTAAAGAAAGGCTAAAAGTTTAACTTTTTCTTTGCATTTTGATCTTGCACATCCTAGTGTACCTGTTTGTCCTGTGATCATTGCTTCCCCCTCTTTATCCCTTCACACCTGCCCTGTTAACTCAGTTCTGGTTCCAGTTTCTCTTTCCTTCCTGTTTTGTGGTCCGTCGTTATCTTTGCTCCCCTGTCACCTTCCTCTGTCCATTTTTTTTCACCTGCAGTTCAGTCCCTCATTAACTGGTTTGTAGGAGGATCTTTATTCAAGTGGCCGTCAATGATTTGGTTGTCCATTTATCTGCTAACAAGCTTGGATTAAGCTCCCCATACAAACTGCCAGCTCCCAGAGTCCTGTATTTGGGTCAGCCTCCCAAATTCATCTTTTGGCAGCTCTTTCTTGCTGTGACATGCTGTTTTCAGACTTCATGCCAAACTAAACAAACCAGCCACTGACGGCCGATTCGTATTTAGCACGCAGAGCTTTAGATGTCATCTCAAACAAGTCTGCTCCCTAAAATAATCATGGACTTTGGAAGCCCACAGCAAAATGCAGTTTCTGTGGAACACACAGCCTTTAATATCTCACATTCAGTGTGAAGCATGGAAAAAAACACACCAATATCTGCTTTCACTTTTGAATTGAAATTAAAAGTACATTTTTAAGGCTAAAATATTATTGTGCAGCAACCTGCCAGGGTTCATTTTCACTTCTGAAAAGGCCACACATGTCCTGCTGTGAGAGTAATAACAGGAGCAGCAGTGTGCCATTGTATTACTGGCCAGAGCGCAGGCTTCCTGCAAACCCATCACCCAGTCCAGTAAATGTTAGCTTTTGTGTACAGAACTGTGTTCTATTGAAAAAAATATCAGATTTATTAGTGATATGAATAATAAAGAAGCATGTAGACCTAAGAGCCTGGAGCTCCAAGGGATCAATGGCAGTGTTGTAAACAGACTGTAAACACACTCGAGACTTTTGGCAGCATGAAGCTCATCCCGGGGTGAGTGTGATCAAAGGCTGGTGACACTGCTGATTCGGAAATCTGTTTAGGATTTATGAGATGCCAGGGGGTGGCAGATATCTGACATTAGACAGACTGCTGCAAATTAAAGCACTGATGCAGAGTCTTGTAATCTCTGAGTACTCTGTGCATTCAAAATGTATTTTTTTTGAAGAGGAAAGGAAAAAGAAGAATATTATATAAGAATGATATATTACAAACCGGCAAAAACATGCTAATGGGCTCGACAGTTGTCTTGTTAGGAGTCGAGATGAATTCTTCAGAGTTCAGTTGAGAATCCATCACTGATACACACGCTTGCACATGGCACAACACGACGTCACAGAACCTCTACCACATGTCAACACAGCTGGAGCAACAGTTTGGACCTGGCAACCCAACCTGTGTCAAACAGCTGCTGATGTCTTAACCTGTCAGCAGAGGCGCTGGTTTGAGAACGAAAAGAATTCTATTTTAGCTCTCGATTTTACTTCTCTCGTTCCTCTTGGCATCTGCCGAGACAAGTGCTGCTGTATATACATTATTAATTCACTGTATATTAAGATGGTGCAGGCCACTGAAAAAAATGATCTGAAGTTTGATAATATATGATGCTTTAAATGTTACACAAAAAGTACTGGCAATGTTCATCTTAAAAAGTACTGACAGTACAGAAACTGGCTGTGTGTTTCATTTTCCTCTCACAGTACAAATCCATGTTTCCGGTTAACTGGATTGCTCTAAATTGGCCGTACCTCTGAATGGGTGTGTCCTCCTCACCCAATGACAGCAGAAAATGTCTGTTTCATGTTAAAGGTTTTTATTTATATTTTGAACGTGACATGGTATAATTTTACAGTCCAAATTAAAAAGTAACTCAATATGTTGTAAATTCCCTTAGAAAACAAGGCCGGGCACACAGGGTGTTGTACCTTTACCTGATTACGTCACCATAATCAGGTGTAGTATCTGGCAGATTAATTTCACCATCTTCAAAAAAACAATAAAAAGTGTAACATTTTTCTATTCTTCTCACCACAACGTCATGCACACAAACCGTGCAGACCGGTGTCACACCTGCATGCACGTTCATGCGTTAAAGACCCAAAACCATGACTCAATATGCCGTCCCACCGTGAAGTGTAGTTCTTTTATGTTTGTGTGTCTGTGTGTGTGTGTGTGTATTGTGAACCCAGCCCGAAGGCAATTGAAGCCAGGTTTTGTAAATAAATTAAAGCAACAAATTATGGTTAAAAGCTTCTCCCTCAGGCCAGGAAAAACTTAGATCCATTATTCATGGCGTTTACTGTCGGGAATCTACAGGCCAGTGTGTGTGTGTGTGTGTGTGTGTGTGAGCGGTGTGTAGTATGTATTTTTTGTCAATTATTTAAAGATTAACCATCCGTACCCTATTAAATTGTCTTGTTGATGAAATTGAATAACATTTTGATTCTGATGCTATAATGAAAATTCACAACAGTGAACATCGATACTAAGTTTGTGCAGCCGCGGAGAGATTCTGCTCACGTACATTCACACCTGACATTGAAGTATCCTTTATAACCTATTAACACTTAAACAATTGTGGATCAAAATGACCTGGAAAAATAGTTTTTGCATGCAGGTAGTAATGCCACCAAAACATTATATACATGTATGTATAATCTGTACATATAATCCCTCTGTATTATAACAACATAAATAAAAAAAGGTTATTGTATAGTATGGCCTTTCTTGTTCAGTTTTTGATATCTTGAAAAATCAAATTCTGAGCTCTAAAATGTGTATATACAAACACTATGGCTATTACTGTAAGTACACTAGTACGGGCGGTTCTGGAGGTGAATTATTTTACTTCTGTGTCCTGGGCTAAAACGGCATATTTGATATATAACCAGAGAAGCTCCACACAGGGGAGCTGCAGGAGGCTTTTCCAGGTCACATGAGTTATAATTCTGCCAGCACGTCCTGGTCAGTACAAGGATACACCACAGCATGTTGCCAGAAACAGTCCTTAACATGACCATAACATCCTGTCCGTTTTCTCTCTTTGGGGAGTCTGAGGATAATCAGAAAGTCAAATGAAACATCCGTGCATGTGTGGCTTTAAAATGGCCAACAATGATCATAGATTTATGTTCGCCGTGATGCACATTTTATAAGCTCTCAGCACTTTTGCTCCAGGCAGAGTAATACGGGAGACCTGCAGATCAATTAACGGAATGCATTGCAGTGTTAGTGGCCAGGAATTGAAATGTGTTATCAGAAACGTGTTGGAGGACCAAGACCCTGAAAACATATATCTTAGTTTTAACTTGATAGACCTAAAACTTCTTGAAACTCTATTTGCACGAATGTTAAACAGTAAGGAAGATATTTTGTTCAAACTACCTTGTATGATTCCAGTTGGTCTGTCCAACTGCTGCCGGTAGTCTCGCAATTAGTGAAATGAGGATCACCTGAGTGGTGTGTGCAGGTGATTGAGGATTTAAAACACCTGTTTTTGGAGGCTCCAGTATTGTAGCACTAATGTCAGAAAGTTCATCAGCAACACAGTCTCACAATATTAACTGCTCCTTGGCTTTATTGTAGGTGAAAATGAATGTATCATATTTGAATATTTTACAGCTGTAGAGTAATACCAGTGAAAATGTTCAACATTAATATGTTACCATGCCACTCAACTCAGGAAGCAGGATGTTTAGAACATGTTTATAGCAACACCCGCAGGTGAGGAAGAGCACTACAAGCTCCTCTCAGGTGAGCAGCTCAACTTGTTACACTTAGATTCCACACACTTCATCTCTGACCAAAAGCAAACAGAACATTTCTGGCCCATACAAGGGGGAGGATTTTAAACCCCCAGTCATGGCGTGAGCAGACCTTGAGTTGAAGTGGATCGATATCGGTCTCCTGCGCCTGCCCTGTTTTTTTTTCAGCATGTCTTTGGGTTTTTGAAGTTAGAGTTGCCTACAAGTGTTAAGATTTCTCTCGGGGATGCTTTTGAAACAAAAACAAAAAAACAAAACAATGCACGGTGTTGAATGCTGCAAAGTCATTCTAGTGTGTTTCAACAGTGTGACAGAGTGTTTTACTGCACATACAGTAGTGCTGAGGACACACGGTTGACACGGTGTTTCAGGACGGAACGAAACACAGTGCTGCACAATGTGTTTTCGTAGATGTTTTTCACTTTCTTGTGTGTGGGGGTCGGGGGTGGGTATTAAGTAAACCTGGAACCCTTTAAAGTCTGTTGTCATATGTGTTGGCTGAGCATTTTATCTGGATGCTTCTGTGCCTCATCAAAGGGTCATTTTACTGCGTACTACTGTACAGTATGTGTGTGCTTTCCTAGAACTCCAAGTTCCAAGTTCCTCATGTTTCCAACACCCACTCGAAGGAAACAAAAACAAACAGGGATGCATTTCTCAAGTCTTTATTCACCAGGACAAAGGTCCACTTGATAATAAACTTGTCGTACTGACATATTTTACACCCTTTATTCCTTTTATAAACTTTCTTCTCCTTCTTTCCCTCTTTGCTATTTGCTTCTTTTTGTCCTCTCTTCTCCATCTCTGTTCACCTGTCGTCTTTTGTTCTCGTTCTCTCCCTCAGACCTCGTCAGAGTGGAAGGCTGAGCGACAGAGAAGAAACAATTAATCCCTGTGTTAATCAGTTCAGGTACAGCAGGTCGTATAAGTGGGAAGACCGAGTGAGACACATGCAACTACTGACTGGAACTGTTCTCAGAAACAAACACACACATGCTCCTTGGCTGCTGTTTTAAAAGCATTAGGCTGCGTGCCCAAACAAGTTTTGGTCATAATTATGTGTTTCTGCTGTTTCTCTGTTAGATGTGGCCTTGAACCTCTTCTCAAACACACATTCGAGACATCCCGGCATAAATCCCTGCAAATTTATGCCCGCCAGAACAAGAGCAGGCGGACCCAAGGTCAAGTATTTATTACATTTAATTAACAGTGATTTTAAGTGGAACACTGCTTTTGATAATTGAATAAAGCAGCTAATATTAAAAGCTCATTTTCTGCCTCCTGTATTCCCATGATTTTGCAGGTCAAAGGTCATCACATTCATTATATCTCAGTTAGCAAAGTGAGTGATTACGTTGTGACGACTCCATCGATGCTAATGTCTGCTCATGGTGGTGAGAATATGTTAGAAGGTCAGATTTAGGACGGTCGGTAAACCAGAAGATTTACATGGAAAATCCTTTTTTTTTCTTTGTTATTCAGCATATTTCAAACGCATGTAGACATCTTATCATGGGTAGGATGATGAAAAAGATGAGAAATAGTCAGATCAGGAATCAGCAGGGCAGTGTGAAGGTGAAACGTGAAAGGCACACGTGCAGTTCTTAGTCCTCAGACGAGCTGGGCTATTTTTGCACAAGGTGAAGCTTCTAATTTGACACATTTGTTAATGATCTACTTCCTTTAATGGGTTACTGGTGTGAGGTGATGTTTTCTTACATGTGAAGGTTTCAGTTAGCTGGTGAATACCTTCCTCCTCATCATCTGGGGCTATCAAGCCGGTTACAAAGGTCCAGATCATCTCCAACCAATCTGTGTCCTCCTTCACTGTGACACCAGCAACCCTGGCTTTGAGTGGACGACCACCAGCTGAGTAAAACACAGGTAGTACGTGAAAAAAAAAAAAAAAACTGCCACAGACTCAACATAAATTGAATTTTCAGCAATTTATAGTCCTATGACTGTCTAAATGCAAAATGTGGAATCTGCTTACCTCTGGCCTTCATGCCTCTCTTGGCGATAGCAGAAGGAGGAGGAAGACCTGATGTAGACGGAGAGACAGGTGATTATCAGAGGCAGAATCTCACAGGGGCCAGATAAGAAGAGAAAAGGGAAGAGTAGGCAAACAAAGAAAAGGAAACTCAAATAAATAAAGATATGAAATCATTGAAAAAAACAAACAAATACCAAAAAACATGGCCTCAGCTCATTCCTGTCCACTTTTCATGCAACCAAGGCAACATGCAGCTCGTAATCACACCCGGCTGACATTAGTGCAACAAGTTGACAAATACAACCCTAGCCCTAACAAAAAAACCTGCAACTTTATTTCAGTAAAATACTATAATAGATCATTATTATTATTATTACTATGTTTAAAGACATATTGTTGTGGTGACTGAAAAATCAATAGAAATCTAAAGGTTAGTGGTTGACTGCAGTAGTTGCAGGACATCTATACTATTTCACATTGTTTTCACAGTGGAGTGAAACTTTGAAATTTTGAAAGGTGAAACAAACAAAGTTAATAGTGTTGACTACCACAGGTTGGATGGCTAATTAGAAATTAACACTCATTAATCTTTGATGATTTCATTAATACCTGATGTCTCTTCAGACGTGATGATATTATCACTTCAATTGACTCTGTCTCTGCTCAGTCAAGACAATTCATTATCAACTTAGTGCTGGTACCCTGTGTAAAATCACAGTACTGTGTACAGTACAGTACAGTACAGTACAGTACAGTACAGTTTGTAGAATGACTGCCGAGGGACTGATCAGCCCAAAGGTTTAGCTGCTCCTCAGCTTCTGCAGTAAAGTGAATCAATCTTTTACTGCTCTGCCTGTTGGGATAATGACACATCCTGTTTGCGGTGTTAAAGCAAACTGTGATCATTCAGCTGCCACTACGGCGAATGGATTTATCTCAGAGGAACACGAGAATTAGCACATTCATCTCTCCGCTGTGACTATTATGAAAACTCTTGGCTCCAAAGTGCTAAACGCCATGTTGGTTTTTTTTGCTGGTGTCTCGTGGATCTCTTTAATTTCATCTCCTCCTGCTCTCTCGCTGTTCGCTGCTCTCCGTGGAGGTGTTTATGATCCTCATAAACATCTGATTAATGCATCAACTTTTCTCGGATTGACGTTCCTGACTCAGAAGGAAGAATGGATGGCTGCTCCACCTTAACAATCCCAGCCTTTGTCTTTGTACAACATCCTGCTCTTTGTCCCTTTTCATCTCTCGTCTCTTAACATCTATTTTTGTTCACCATCTCACTTTCATGTGTTTGTCTGCTTGCGTGGTGTCATTCTCTCATGTTTTTATTCCCTCCTCACTCTTCGTCACATTTTTTAGTAGTTTTTGTAGTTAGAAAGCCACATCAAAATGATAAAACACAAAGGAATCCGATACATAAATAAATAAAAATAAATAAAAACAGCAGCAGAGTTAAAAGGCAGAGAAAGGAGGATCCCATGGGACGGAAAACAGCAGAGTGGAGCAAAAATCATATCTGAGCTCAAACAAGATAAATCATACACAGCATTGTTTTCTCCTTCCTTCCTTCCTTCCTTCCTTTCCTTCTTTCTTTTTCTTTCTTTCTTTCTTTCTTTCTTTCTTTCTTTCTTTCTTTCTTTCTTTCTTTCTTTCTTTCCTTTTCTTTTTGTCATTGTCAAACGACAGCTACAGGTATTTGCTTCGGGAGATAAGTACAGCTGATGTTCTGACAAAAGGTTTCGATCGTGTAAAATAAAGAACTTGTAACTTTTGTTGATTGTGAAATGTGCTTGTGATATATGACTAAACTTTGACGCGACACTCGGTACACCACTTACCATGTTTTTCTACATTATCTTTTTCAACAAGATCGATGCACATTCATCAAGCCATGAGACTGTTAATCGATTAAGAAAAAAAGGCACACATTTTAATCTTAAGGCCTCGGGGGCTGAGTTTTGTCACATAATTTACTGTATGTGATTAAACTAAAGCTTAAACTACAACATAACTCAAACAAATTATGTACAAAACATTTTTGAAAAATGTACAGTCCATGCATGCACAAAAAAAGGTGCACAAGGCAATCTTAAAACATGAGCAAAATCTTCAGGCCACGTTCACACAACCACATGCTCTGATCGCGGTGCTGCAGCACACGTGTTGACTCATCGGGTCTAAAGACCTGTGACCAATTATGTAAAAACCCACTAAATGATCCTGAACCAATCCCAGCTGACATTTGACTAAATAAAGGGCACAGCTTTGATTGCCTTTAATCTCTGTGTCAATACATCGCATGCAAGGACACAAAATTAACTTGTTTATTTTATAAAAGTCATTCATTAGAGTCTGTATAATCAGATTATCTACTACTTATATAAAACCCACTTCTTAAAAGACTATATTTCCATAAATAATTTCAAATGCTTTTTCTTGAGTCTGTTTTTATATATTACTGATAATAGATGTGGACCGAGTGGAACAGGGAAAGTAGGCTTTTTTCTAACTTTGTTAAGCCCTACCTGACAACCGTGGAGAGGCAACGCCAGAGACTAAACAAAGTGAAAGCAGAGATATGAAGGTAAGAACAGGTTGAATTTGATTTCTGAACATTTTTCTTTTCTATATTTTTTGCCTTTGCCTTCAGCAACATGTTCAGCTCTGTGCGGCTGGTAGACAAAGAGTAGATGGTTGAGTGTTGAAGCACCATTGAAAACGTCAAACCTCACTTCACTAAAAGGAATAGAACTGGACACATGCTCAACAAGCAGCACTGTATTTACACTGCTTTTTTCACAGACAGGTTTTAGTCAAGGTGAGCGGGAAAAACAAGCGGTGCGGTTTAACTGTTAGTGGTGCTCTTGTTGATGTTGTTTTACCGGGAGGTAAACACACGGGGTCGTCACAGTATGATGTGTACTCTTTGGATGGGATGGCAGGTGATGGGCGGCGTGAGGATGGAAAAGAAGTGGGGGATGAAGAGAGGAGGGGGAGAAGGGTTTAAGGTGAGTGTGGTGATGTGGAGGCAGGACTATCGTAGACTGCAGATAGTCCTGGTACATGGTAGGGACATACATGGTGTAGTTCATGATGTGCTAAAGAACAGGAGTACGTAGAACTAACAGAGTGGTTCATGTGCGAATAAATGAGAAAGAAATACACATTATTTTCTATCATCGGTACCATACAACATTACACATTGACAGAACTGTATTATTATCCTCAAATGTAGATATGTATGCAGGCTTTTCTTAAGGTAGAACTTTATAAAAGGTAGAAATTAATTGCAGATCTGAGTGGACAGTACAAAGTTGGAATTGAAAAAAAAAGTTGTGATTTTCCCAGAAAGAAAAACAATCTTCTGCACTGCAGCGTGAAGAATTCACCCAGAGCTGTGGTTTCTCCGGGTCTCATTATACTGTAATCAAATGTTCTAATTATCCCCCGATACAAATTAATGAGTTTGTAGAGCTGTGTTATCCTGATCATGGCACCAGTAGACTGGAGCAGAGCCTTCTAACAGAGCTGTTACAGTATCTCTTATCACACAACAATAAATAGAACAAAAAATATTATTGCATGCTCATGGAACATTATAATTTTTATTATTTCTGCCAAAGATTTCAATTTGGTCTTAAATATTTGGCTTTTATTTTTATATTACAATGTACGGTTTAATGTTATTTTGAAAAATAAAAAAAGTCTCTGTCTTTTGAAAGCCAAAGAAAAACCAAGAAGCGAAGGTCAAATGGAACATCAGTGTCTCTGCTGCTACTCTATATTAATTGGGTGCCTGGAACCGTTTTTGTTGTCTTTGCTAAATGGAAAACAGTCCACACTTACACATACAAAGCTCCTCTAGTCGGGATGTCCTTTGACTGCAGGTTTTGCCATCCACCAGTGGGGGGCATACCGTCCACTCAGCCTTGAATCAAACCAAACCCATAATTTCCTCATATGCTAAATATATAATAATAATAACAAATAACACTTTACGGATTGGTGGGAGTGTCAGAATCAGACCACAGTTACTCACGGTCTGAATTACCAATTTATGACCCCTGGTGGATAAATATTTGTTAACCTCTGGAAGTGCCCTTTAAATCCATTCTCTAAATCTGAGTCAGACATTAAAGACTGGTCAAAGAGGAATGGAAGGACCTCAGCGTGTGCTCAGCTGGATGTTTTATAAGAGAGTGTGAAAACACTGTGAACACATCAGCCATTACTTTTAACAAAAGCACAAATAACAAAGAGAGAATGGAAAAAAAAGATGGAACATGTTCCGTCATCTACACGTGTGTTTAGATGACGGCCTTCATGACACCGCGTCCACTTTCAAAGCCAGCTTCAAAAGTGTGTTGAAGGCTGTCGAACAATGTGTGGATGAAATATGGATGTGTTGGTGTGAGAATGTGACAAATGGATAATGCATGAGTGGAAGGAGAGTGTCACTGGAAAAGATTACAGGCACATTAAAATCCTGTTTTATGAGGATTATCATTTTTATGGAATGGTGTAAATAATGATCGTATCATATGTTTATTAGACCAAAAAGGAACATAACGTAATAAATAAAGAGGTTACCTGCAAGAGTGTCATAATCAAGGAGATCAAACAGAACAATAGCTACACCTGACCAGGTCAGGATGAGAGCTAGGACCAGGAGCCAAGCCATTGGTGAACTGAAGGTGAGGATGACATCATCCAGAAATGTCCTCTGGGCTCTGCTAGCTGGAGGGACCATGGCCCCCCCGTTGGTCTGGCTGCTCATTGGTGAGGAAAGCTGAAGGGCATGAAAAAGGAAAAGAGACATCAGCTAGAAAAGTCGAAAAAGTTCAGAGCTAAATATTAATAAAAATTACACATTTTTTTTGCCTGTAGCCATTCTTCATTTTCTAGGTAAAATAAGCAAAGGCCATAACTGATGTTTACCACTGAGCCGTGTGCTCAGTGCTGAACACACTTCACTGTGTAAAACTTTAATTGCTGTCTGCAACAAGTTTTTAATTTTTTACTTTTGCTTTGTTTACACATCACCTCTGTTTATTCACACCGACGTCAGCGAGTTGTTCAAGTACAGTTTGTTCTGTTATTTCACCATCAGAGGAGAAGACTGAGAGACTTGAAGCAGGGAGAGGACGAGGATCACCTGAGGTGATGACCAGATTCAATTTCATCTCGCTCAAATTCTGCACTATAAGACAAACAAATTCTCAAAGAAAGTTTTCAACGTGGTACAGTACAGCGTAGGACTTCTGGTCTTGAGTCGACAATGTTAGCTTGTGGGTGTTTATCAAATGACTTGTTGCAACAAATTTTTTGTCTAGTTTCTGCCCCTTAGACAGTTTATATCTGAAAAAAACAACTGCAGTAATGGTTCGTCTGATGTGCTGATCAAATGGAATTATAGGAGAAATATGTCCTTTTCCTAGTCAATAATGAGCTCCTACAGGAAACAAATATGCAAAAGAAGAATTCTGCAGGTACGGGTCCAGTGAACAGGGCTCATTTTACCACAGTGGTTAAGAGAATGAAACCACATTTTAACATGGTCTTGGAACAGTGTGACCCACTTATATTTCTGACTCAACCAGGTAACATTTAAATTAGTTTAATGACCCAAAACTGACTAATAATGAATTTGTTTGACAGATTTGAAATAATTATAAGATTTTCTAAATGGGAATTTGTATCTAAATGACTATATAAACATATATATGAATCAACATAATACTTTTATATATACTTATGTGATATAAACACTACTATCTTATACTATACTTATGTGATATAAACACTACTATTATAATGAATTAACATCTTGTCTGTCAGTCTGTGTCTCTTTGTCTCATTTTATGACGTCTGGCTGTCTCTATATATTTGTGTCCGTCACTTTTAATACAGTAGCTCTGTCTGGCTACATTTTCTGCCTCTGTCTTTCTCTATTTCCCTCTGTCTGTCTGTCTGTATCTGTTGTCTCTCTGCACCCGGCACTCAGGTGGTTGTATAATGTGAAAAAAATCGACGCATTTTGATGCACAATCTGTTCTCAGACTGACCTTTCTGTTGCTGCTTTCAGATAACAAACTCTAAAATCAATTTAACATAACTCTGTAGACATACAGTAGAATGTCGTGTGTGTGTGTGTGTGTGTGTGTCTAACATTCATTCACATTGATCAAGTAAACAACAACCAGCATGTCTTCTGTGTCATTACAAAGCAGAGCCAAACGCTGCGTCTGAACACCTGTGTGTGTTTTCCATGTACTGTAAAAGACATTGATCTAGTGTAAAGCCCCAGCATCAGTTGGTCAGACTTGGGTATCGATCCACACCAAGTAAATCAGACTCACTATTATGAAGACAAAGGGCCTGATTACAGGAAAGATAATTCCTACTGTTTATAAGACAGTGGAGGAAAAGCCCTGGTTTGTTCTCATCAGTTTCACTGCACTCACACTACACAGACCTGGTGCATACATTTTATACCTATGCAGCTGGTGTTTCATCTGAATAAGTCCGTATCTACCTACGAAACCACGGTGCCATATGTCTCTGTCCTCTCTTTAACACCAGATGACCTGTCCACCTGTTGTTGCTGAGCTGGTCTTAACACATGCAAGGACACAGTCTGTCGTTGTCCCCTCCAGCAGCAGGGGAATGAAAACAATTGAAAAAATGTGGGTGCAGGCCCTTTCCCAGCACAGAAGGACAAATGGAAGGTGACAAAGCCAGGGAGAAAGAGGTGAGTCATGGAAGCGTGGCCCTGCAGTACAACACTGTCTGATTAATAGAGAGTACCCTGTTAATGAAGCCATCTGAATGGATCATTAACATTAGTGAGCACGTTTAAAGAGGCACCGATCTCTGGATGAACTCGGAGTATTTTTGTTTAGCACACAGTTGGACTGAACCCATCAGAGGTCGACAATAGCCTAGAAACAAATGAATAAAAATATGTAGCAGATGTTTCATTCTCCAGCTTCACCATTCACAGTAGTTAGATTCAGGGATGAAAATCCACAGCACACCTACACATATGTCTGTTCTTTAACAAGGTGATTTGGTTCATTCATTCATTCATTCATTCATTCATTCATTCATTCATTCGTTCGTTCATTCATTCATTCATTCGTTTGTTCGTTCATTCATTAATTTTCTATTACTTTTGTTTAGTGTTTTTAGTGTTGTGGTGAAGCTTAAGCTATTCTCAGCGGTGACTGTATAACAAATCATTGGTTGATGTACCCTAATCTCCAATGTTGGTAAACTGGAATATTCTGCTGTAAAGCTAGAGCGCTAATCACTTCTTCCACAGAGTGGCCCAGGTTTAAACCATGTTCACTGAAGTGATCTTGATTCTGTAATATGACTTACAGTGTACCTACAACAAGAACTACAATTACAAACAAGAAGATCAAATATGTTTTCTCCTATGTCACTACTTTCTATTGGTGTTGCCAAGTGTTGCTCTTGTTGGACCATACACTGTAAAACAGTACGTAAACATCAGCAGTCTGTGAAAAACTCACAGACTGCTCACAGATAAGAATAACTTATCGGCGTTGATATCTGATAGTTTTCATAAATAAACATCAGGATGACATTAACTAACAGCTTACCTTAAATGTAGCAAAAACATTAAACTGACACTGGGTTAAGCTGCATGCACACATCAGATCATTATCAACTTCATTGTGGGTAAAAAGGATTTTAACTTTACCTCACTGGACCTGGTGGATGTTCAGTGATAACCTTCAGTCCTTTAAAAGATCCAGAAAATACGGTGTTACCATAGAAACCAATTTATACCACTCCTAAAACCTTTACGTCCCAAGAGGATTGTGAGAATAGATGATAGAGGCAACATTCAAGTCTGGCAGCAAAAAACAAAAAAACAAAAACAAAAACACAAAGACAAGCTAGATCACACAGGGACCCAAAAATAAATTTAAACCCCCACTCCTAAAAATTACTTCAAGTAAATTATCTTTTGAGTTAAATGACATCAATCTGTGTCCCAAAAAGAACAACCAACAAACGTTTCTTAGCTCCGGTTTAGATGGTTATGTCGGTGGACAGAGTGGGACAGTCACAGAGAGACATGTGGTGTGTGGAGACATTGAGAATGGGTTGACCCACCCTGCCCCCTCTGGAGGTCCAAAAAAGAAAGATAAAAAGGGGGAGGAGGGAAGTGGGGGGTGGGAGGACGAGGGCTTTTTACAGGAAAAAAAAAATACAGTGACCAGGAGCACAGAGCGTAACGGAGCAAAGATCACTGGCTGTGGAAGAGAAAGAGAAAAGTGTGGAGAGAAAGGTCAAAAAGTCCCCTGCACTCTGTGTCTGGGAAACCCACAGCTTATTAATCATGTTATAACAGCAAAAGAACACACAGTGACTGTATTTGCTGGTGTTACATCACTGTTTCCTCCTCTGAGAGGCTTATTACTCCACTTCTCACCTTCACTGACCTGTTAAATTAACAAGACATACAACTTCCTCACTGCAGAAAAGTAGACCAGGAAGTTTTTCTTCAGTTTTTTCTTTTTACCTCTATTTTGCAGTAATTGTCAGCTAATACCACATGACTGTCAACACAACACACCAGAAAAACTCTCTAATTTTCCCTAAAACAACTTAAAATGACTTTGTACTACTAACTACTAACCAAAAACTTTTTCAAACCTGAAGCTTCCTCCTGTAATCCCTTCAATAGAAAACACACTTTCCCTAGTGCCCTTTCTTGTCAAAGAGAGGTCAAAGTCGGGGCTAAATGTGTAAATGAAATACATAATTGAGTCCCCCGTGTGTGTTTTTTCCTCTCTAGTACAAGTTTTGTGTGCATGTGTGTGTGTGTGTGTTTCTGTGTAGAACAGAGCGGTGTGAAGGAGTAACCTGACCTCTAGTCTTGCCCTGGGAGCCTGCGCTGCAGAGACTATATTTAGAGGAACAGACAGCAGCTGGTGTTAACACAGGGCTGGACCGCTTTATATGTAGGGCACACTAAGGCAAGAGAGACAGAGCACACATGTGCACACCCAGACGCAAACTCATAACATTCAGCTCCAGACTATGAGACTCAGAAAGTTAAATATTACAATCAATATTACATCACTGAACTTTTCAATCCTTGTTGACATACCTGACGAATCAGAATTTGTTTGCAGGAAAGTTGATCTGAATCATTTATCTTAAGCAGCATTTACTCATTACTAGCCATTGGCTTTGGGGGTAATTGAATTGTAATCCCTCTGATGAGGAGGGAAAACGCCAACAGTGCTACCATAACAGGCCAGTAAAAAAAAAAAAAAAGAAGTAATTTCTTGTTTTTACCCTGCAGATTAATCTATGTTTGTTAACTTCTTCATTCAGCTCCCAGATGGGACGCGGCAGCAGATCATCTGCCCCCGTATTACTCTATGCCATGGTTACTTCACTGTTACACCAGTTATATCCATAACTTTTCTTATAGCACTGACGTTCAGTGTCAACCCGTCACTTCTTGTGTGGTATTTGCTTTGCAATAAATCCCCTGTTAATTTGTTTATACCATATGCTGGAATGAAAAATTGTATTAATTATGTTATATTATTTGCTAGTTTCCGTTGTCTATAATTATGTTGTTTCCTCTTTTGGTTATTTTCTTTTTTAGTGTTCCCTCTAAGCCTAGAGAGCAGAATTTATATTTGAATATATTAACTGGACCTACGATGAGTCTCTCCTGCTCCATCAGACCCGTGCAGTAATGTACTACATTACTGTCACCTCGTCACATACATGCAGGTTTTCTGGGCAAGTTGTCACCGTGTGATTGACAGATTGACTGTCCAATTATTTCCTGTCTGCAGATGATGTAAAGAAATAGGAAACTGATTTGGATCACAACTATCCCTGAAAATGTTAAGTGACACAGCAGAGGCCAATAAGAGATTTCTGATTTTTTTTTTCTGAAGACTTCCAGATTATATGGAGTTCTTTCCTGGGCCTCACCATGAAACCAGATATCTACGCCTGCTACGCATATCTAGTCTGTGGTTTCTGGGGGTTTTACACCAAAATATCTCAGAACAAATATGGTTTCTTAGCCTAGGCCTTCTTGGTCCATTAAGCTGCTTTTTATATCTTCCAATTTGACTTAGTTAAAGTCTCAGCTTGTACTTTTCCTATTTAACTCCTCAGTGATCCTTTGTGCCTTTCACTGATTTGTTCATTTATTTTTATAGACTTTATGTTCCCTTGACAGCCTGATGGCTGCCAGCCTGTCTTACATCGACAGGGAGCACCTTTACTATGAGGCATCCTTCACCACATACACATTTTTTAGTTTTTAAATGAAATTGTGATAGTTATAAATGCTGTCCTTCTTAATATTTTAAATGTGAAGCAAAAAATAAATAGCCATGAAAAATGTAATTAAATAATTTAGAGCTGGGAATCAATAAGCTAGTTCTGGTTCTTATTACAACAAATACAAAGTTAAAAAATATTTTTTGACAAATTTTCCTTCTTTAAACAAAATACATATGTATTGTTTTTCTCCTTGGCATTTCTAACACTGTCTCTCTACAGTCGACATATTTTAGCAAATGGATACAACATCTAAACAACAGTCCACTGACTTTTGATTAATCACCTATTTAGCAACATCAACATCAAAAGTTGCTAAAGGATATGAATTTGTTTACTAATCCTGATATGCTGAAAAAGCCCATCACATCAGGAGAGACGGCAGGTTCACTGTGAGGAGAATAGAAAAAATAGATATTAGAGTGGTCATTATCGCAGTATAATTGCACTCAGTGTGAGGTCTCAGCACTGTGCTGGGTGTACGGTCCTGCAGCGGCAGAAATGAATGACCTGCTGTAATCCTGCATAAGTCACTTTTGGTTGTTGCTGCTCAGTGCTCTGATGGTGTCCTCTAGAGGGTGGCACAGATTGTCCTTCAGTGATGAGAGCTTAGCTATCACTCTCCTCTCTACCACCACCTCCACCAAGTCAAGTGGGCATTCCAGGACCAAGCTGGCCTTTTAACCAGTCTGTCCGGCCTCTTCCTGTTCACTGTCAAGATAGCACTGCATAACAATTACATGCTTGCAGTGAAACAGAGGTATAAAGTTCCCAGTGTTGTTAAAGTTCATTTACACAAAACTTAAAAAACAAATCCAGACTTTCAGATAATATTTACTGAAGCCTTAATTAAACATTTGTCGACATTAGTCCTTCATCTGTTGTTGTCTTTAGCTGCGCTGTATGCGCACATAAATGTGAACACCCACGGGGAAGGCAGTGATGAAACCAGCCAGCCACAGTAGGTCTGATGAAACTAGAGGCAATCAACAAGAATAATGTAGATGTTTGTACAGTTCTCTGCAGTGAAACTTATTGGTGACTGGCTGTTTGAGGAATCTTGGTAACCATTGTGTTTTAAATGACTGACACTGAAGAGTCACATGGGATTTCACGTTCCGTTGGCGTCATTTTAGCCCACACTGATCACTGTGGGGGCAGGTCAGGACCATGGACAGCGAATAAAGCGATTTTAGCACCTTTTACCTACTGCATGTGGGTGGAATGGTAGTTCAGCACCATGGACAGCTAGTGTGGAACGTATCACACCTGCCAATGGTGGTTGCAGTTCAGTAACAAAGGACACTTAACACCTGCAGATGTGATACCAGTCCAGTACTTACATTAATAAATGATTTTACATTTTACATCAGAGGTTTCAAAACAGTGGCCTATGGGTTGAATTACTATGTTACCAGTAGAGTGAAACATTTATTGCACCTCTTTCTTGTGACCACACCAGATTGGGAGGACAGAGGGGTTTGTCCTCCAATACTTAGGCTACTAAAGATACGTCAACTAACAGCTGAGCAGCCTCCCACCTCAAAAAGTGGGTACTCATGGTGTCACAAATGTCTGTAGCCTAAAGGCCTGACTTCTGTTACCTTAAAAGCTGCTTAACTAAACCTTAGCATCGGAAACTGAAGAGCCACAGAACTGGAAAAAAAGCCTCTGTCCTGCTTTCAATCATTGGGCTTCATGTTTGTCTAAACATAATACAATTGGCTAAGTACAATGAAACTGCATGTGTGTTACCGCTCACACACCTGTGGCCGCTCTACCAGTTCTGCACCAGAGACAGCAAACTAGGACAGATTTCTACCTCTGGCTGCTGGTGCCTGTTTAGCACCCAAGACACTGAAGTAGGACAAACACCTGTGGCTGTTGGGAGACACAACAGGCGCTGATCACACCCAAAGAGTCACAGGCTCACACGTTAGGAAAGACTTCAATAGTGTGATTGCAACATTCTGCTGCAACAAAGCTGGTGTTTATGGTTGAGTTTCGACCAAGTAATAAACAAGAATTTACATAAGACAGACTTTCTTCTTTGGTTTAAATTGCAAATGCATAACTTGTAAAATGGTTAATTGTTGCCGTAACTCCAATTTCTAAACCTAATCCGGACAAAATCTGTTTTCCTTTGTTCTCACAATATGTCCCCGGGCATAATACTAATACTGCAAGCAGCTCTTAATACCAAGCCATGTAGGAAAAGAGGGCTGCAGTCTGTGATCCAGAGCCAATATTGCTGTATGTCCAGGGTTACATCATGAAAGGCATCTGGTATGAAAACCATGTAAAAATCACATAAACCAGGAATGTTTACACAACACTTGAACAGTCTCCAGGCTTAACTACAACTTTCTTTCCTTTTATTAATCAAGCTACTAGAAGCCATTGGCCTATGGATATTCAGTATCTGTACTATTTTATAATGAATGCCTTTATAAACTGATCACTCGACATTTTACGTTTGATTTGCATCAAGCCAAAGCAAAAGAGCAAAAGAAAAATATCTCAAAGTAAATTATAATTTCCTGAATTCTCACAAAAAGAAATCCCCATAATTGTTGATCTAAATAATTGTACAGGTACAATTAACCTTCAATATACTTTATATGAAATATATGTGTGTACTATAAAAGGCTAAAACATGTACCTAACCTTCTTTTAGTAATTAAAGTAACATATATAGTATAGCTGTCAGCTCACAGCCAGTTAAAGTTCAGCACAGTTAAGCAGAGAGCACCTTTACTTAACTACTCACATACTGAAGCTTCTCCCTGGATCCTGTCCACGACACTTCCCATCACTCTCTTCACTCTAGTGTTATATGTAAATTTTCCACTCACTGTCACTGTTACTTTTGTCTCTCTCGTTCAATTTTTTTGTTATGTCCCTTTACTTGTGCTACATTTCTTACTTTTTCACCTTCATTTTCTTCCATCTTTCTTTTTCCACACACACACACCAACACCCCCCCCCCCCCCCCCCACACACACACACACACAAACTGTAAACATTAAATTAGTAATAATGTCACCATGCTCTCTCCCAGGAGGGCAGTGTTATTGACTTCATTATGCAAATGTAAACCAGCCGAAAGCTATACCACTGATGGGATAACACACACACAAACACACACACACAAACAGTTTGTAGGCCACTATGTGCTGGCCAGAGAAGAATTTCATGCGGTTTCAGATAATTATGTCAACGCGTAAAGCTGATCTTTATATTAGCAGAGAAAAGCTGCTTGGTTTTAATGAGCCTGAAGCTTTATTTGTGTTAAGGTACAAGATTGTTTTATGAAAAAAATATATATATATATGTT